TCCTCTTTCAATTTGACCAATTAGGTCTGCACTGCAAGGTGAAAAGGAGGAACCGGAGTGAGTCTTTATATATATATATATATTTATACATTGCTTTTCTCGATGACCAGATGATGGCTTCGACTGCCACGGCAGTGCACTTCTCAATCCGCCGAGATATTATATAATATAACTTAGCATTTTTTTTTGAAACTTCTCTTTCAGACAGAGAATCACTAATGACCCTTGGGATGTTTGTTTGGCCGGCCAACAAGAGTTTGCGTGTAGTTCATGACGGCAGGTCTGCCATGAGCTCTTCTTGGGGAGCCCAGCGAATTCTTATCATTATCATTACAGCGGGTTCATTTGTGTCCTTGTGGTGCCATTCCTCATGAGTTTTTCCATTTGATCACACCTGACCTGGCTCTGACAGGAGGTTTCAGCAGGTGCCCAGATATCGGTGGAAGAGTCGCAGTTGGCATCGGAGAAGAGTCTGAACGAGGTGCGCCAAAGCCCAAGCATGCTGCGGACTTTTTGCGGAATCTTACAGCCAGCATCGCGCAGCCGACATCACAACAGCTAAGTGCAACCAGCGACCAACATTTGTTTGTGTTTTCCATTTTTTTCTGCTCCATTTTCTTTTCTGACTAGTTTTGCAGTCCACAAAGAGTTTTCGATGTCAGTGACGAATATGAAGGCAACATTGACATTAGCCAGACGCCTACAGACCGAAAGGCAAGGAAACAAGGACCTTTCAAAGCCAAAAGCTGCACACCAACGCTCCCAGTCAGGAGGACCACCATGCTAACGCTCTATTCATTGGACAATGCATGACAATGCCAACCACCTGAGATCGGCCAAAACAATGGTAGAAACTGTTACTTGTAGCACCGCAGCATCAACCTCGAGTCTGCCCAGCCGCGCTCGCATAGGTTGTAAACCTTTTGCTGGACTAGGTGTCTGATTTTTTTGTCCAACGGTGTCATTGATGCCTCCACCTGACTTTGAAAATGAGCGTTTCGCTACAAAGAGCAGAAGATTTTGCATGTTTTTAGCAAACCCCCCAAACGACCATGCCATTTAATATACATGTTGTTTGCATGTTTTGGAGTGTGATGTTGCCTGTACGCAAACGCATATATGTATATATATACACCCTAGAAGTCCAAAGACTATACTTTGACCGACTGAAGTAAAGGACATTCCTTTTCGTGTCACCTAAAGACAATTCTTTTTATACGTAGTCTTTGACTCCCAGGGTATATATATATATACATATTATATATATATATATGTACTCTGAGACTCTTCTCCAGCGTTGCCCCCACACATGCACACGTCAGGTAGGGCTCGATGCCGAAAGCACAGCCATGGCGTAGCACGTGGTCCGATTGCTGTTGCCCCACCCCACACATGCACAGTGGCCCTGAAGGAAACCTCACAAGTGCTTCAAATACTACACAAAAAGGCAAAAACAAACAATTGCGAAACACCTTGGCCGTCTACGCCCCATGGTCCAACTACTCACTATGCCAATGTGCACATGATGCATTTCGTCACTATGCAGCTAAAGTATGCTATAGTACAATCATGAGCAGACCATAGCAGACCTATGTAGAAAGGCCTTACACCCGAAGGCAAGAAATACACATGGGACTTGGGCATACCAGCTAGACCTGCTCAATGCCCTGTGGGGGAGGTTCGCTCTGAGCTGAATGCCTTCATCGAGGAGCAGCGTATCTTTAGCGGCTTCATTGATACTGAGCAAAGGCACGATGCTTGACCAGTGGATGGTAAGTGAATGTGGGACAATTCCTTCAGTGACGCTGTACAAAAAAGTCAGTCTTGATTTGTGCCGCATTTATTTTCGAAACGATCAATTTGGTTTTTGTTTGGGAACTACATCCAGAGATCTGAAACTGGATGGCTCACAAGCTATCAACATGCGTAAGTGCTCGAGTAGGTATGTTTGCTGAGAGATGAAGCTGAATATTGTTGGAAGTGACCCTGACACAGTTCAATGCGAGTTACAATGCGTACAGAGGACTCAGATCCATATATGACTTCTTGCAATTCAATATTGCTTGTCGTTCTCTTTGGCGTGGAGTTGTACATTGTGCTTGCCGAGGCTAATAAGCACCCCATTAGCACCCAGTAGCCTCTTAGCAACTCAAAGCATTGGAAGCCAAGTTGCGTCAGGTCCTACCAGGAGCTTATCCGGCAGGAGGTGCTTTTGGGTCGCAGCTTGTGTGATCTGTGTTGCTTGGGCCCATGTAGGTGGAAGCGGTTGGACATTCACATGCCAGCGAATGCCATAATCTTTTGTAGCTAAGCATCACTGTATATCACTGTGCACGAAGATACCTATCTAGAAAATATATAGATGCTAGATGCGATTGCTGCAGATGATGTACGTCCAGGTGTCCATTTAGACCACGCACCACACCCCTGAACGATACCGGGCACAATGCAACCATTTGTTCTCAACCCAGCCAAAAGAGGTTGCAGTTTAAGATCCCGTCAATAGGAGTGTGTCTCAAAAGGGAGGACCCCCATCATAAATTTAAATACAAATCATATATACAGTGTATATATATATATATATGTTATACGATAATATGAAGGAAGAGACAGATGAACACTGGTCATGTAAGCACCTTTGTTTGTCGACATGTTTTATTATTTTTTTGAATTGAGTTGGTCGCTGGGGCATTATGGAGATTCAAATTTGGCATTGCTAGCTAGTACAATGTACTTGCTCGTGAAAGCTGTTTGTAGTTTGGAGTCGAGGACGAAGTAAACAAGGTTCATCCAACCCGCAAAGTGCAGCTTGCTTAGCTTGCACTGCTTTGCACACCCTGCAGGTGAACGCGCTTTCACGGCTGGTTGATGCACGCAGCTTCCCATGATCAATCTCAGGGTTAGTGGTGTGCGGCTTTGGGCTTCGAGAGCTCGCAGATTTGGGAATCTCACTTTGGCATGCTTTGTCACCATATACAGAATCGTATAACTTTTATATAGATATGTTTAGTTCCATCAGCATTTGGAGGCAAGGTCCGCAAAGAAAACAATACCTATAGTTTGAATAGGAGTGAGAAATGGGTGGGTTTGCAGCCAGAATTGCTGTGGTATGCCCCCCGAGATCCACCGAGGATGAACTTACAGTAAATGATGGCTCGGGGTAGAGAAAAGCGCTTTCAGAAACAGGCACGCTCAGGAACCTAGACTTAGGGTACAGGATGAGACCATTCTTATTGTGAAATGATTCACAATTGCTGTATGTGCTCAGAAATACGCAATGCATGAATCAAACCCATCGCTTTTTTGTTTTCTGTGGCATGTTTGTCTCGTAGTCCAATGTTTCTTGCAACAAACACATTGATCAAAGACCGGATAAAATCAACAGAGAGCCTCGCATTGTGGCAACACCATCATCACAAGAGCAGTTTCTCATCATTTTGTTCGGTTGTTTGATGTTTTTTGGCAGTCCAAGCTTCCTTCCAGTTGGGTCATGACCGCACTTGCAAAAATCTTTGGGCCTTGTTACGGAGAATCAGCGGAGGCAAACATCTCGTGATTCCAATCCAAGGCATTGATCCACGGAATTACATGGGCTCGCCATCTGCGAGGCTTGAGGCGCAATTCCACGACCATGGTGTTCACTGCTGTATCATATAGTACTGGTATTACAGGCCTCCCTAAGGAATCTTCCTGCGCATCATCCTGAAACGGATGGATGTCATTGCATATGGATTTCAAACCTCAAAAGCCGTTGCCATGGTAATCATGATGGTCACGATCCATCCTGTGGCTGCGATTGGAATGAAAGTTGAATTTGCAGACCCAGAACTAATTGTTTGATTTGTCAAGGTGATGCGTCGGAGTGGTGGATATTGAATGCTGACGCTGCTACGGGGTCTCGAGGGCAAATTGATTGTCAGAACGCAGGTTGATTGATGAAGTAGTTCGTCATTAATGACATCGTCGCAGGTACAGTGCCTTCACTAGTGTCACTAGAAGGTTGAGCCAGCAGCAACGAGCCAAACTGGGATTTCTCAATCCAAGGGTGTCATGCATTGGGCATGCTTATTTGGATCTGAAAGACATTTGGTAGGTAGTCGGCAATGTACAGTATTCTTGAAGATTGAAACTACAGCTGTTGCAATCGCTCTTCAAATGTTGCCACCAACATCCACCAACTTCTTGCAGCCATCACATGTTACGTCATTGTCAAGAAGTCATTGTTCAACGCGATCTGATAAGGCTTGGTAACTGTGATGAAATGAGGGGTTTGGTTTCAATCTTCAGATCTGTCGGGTGCTAAATCTGCAGTGCAGTGGCTTTGTGGATTCAGCTGATGTGTATAGCTCTGGGGCAGGTCACCCCACTCACTTGGGGAGTGATCCGGATGACCACATTGAAAAACATTCATGGTGTGCCGGCATGCCTTGGGAGAGCACAAGAGGACGGAAACTATATATATAATAGTGTTTGCCAAGTTGCCCATGATATTACTACACTATTGAAAAACACTTGGCAGCGCTGAGGATGCTAAGCATGAGTGCTAATGTGTGGGGGAGAGGCTGTGCACTCGATCGGTATTTTGAATATCATACTGCATGCTGTGAAATTCGGAGGATCTTGGTGATTCTTGATATGCCAACTGGCCATTGGTACAGGTTTGCAACTCTGGTTCGTTTCCATGGAGTTGCTTGCCAACTTTCATATGCTATCATATGCAAGAAATAGAACATGGGAGCATCACAGGTCGCGCAGGCTCAGCTCCGGCTCAAAAATAGGTTTCCAGCGAGTTTCCAGTGCTTCAAGAGCGATCGTTGACAAAGGCCGAGCTTGGTACTGGGTGGTTGTTCTCATGATGGAAAGCAGTGGACAAAGAAACTACACAAACATACACAAAGAGTTGTTGGGTACACTGCTGTATATTACCATATATAATATGTTGTTGTTGTTGTGGTGGTGGTGGTGGTGGTCGTCGTCGTGGTCGTCGTCGTTGTTGTTGTTTTCGAATGTTTTGGACGGACAAAGGTTGGGTTGTCCTTCCCTGTCCTGCTTCATGCTGTCCTTTGTTCATGATTTGCAACTTTGAAGTTCAGTTCACTGTTGACACTCGAAGCCAACCGACGATGCACAGTCTTTCGCAGCCGTTAGGCTTCACAGGCCTAGTTTTGTGAGGTCCAAAGATCCAATTCAAGATGACTGTGGATGTGGTGAAGGTGGCCCTAGTGGGCCTTGGTCGTGCCGGCCACTGTCATCAGCTGCCCGGTATTGTTCGGCTTGCATGGGTCATTGATGTTGATACGGAGAAGGCCAAGCACATTGCAACCGAAAAGGGCTGCAGGTGGTCCAGCAGTCTAGATGCTGCCCTGGCAGGGCCAGATGCTGTTCATGCAGTGATCATTGCCTCAGCAACGGACACGCATTTCCCGTACATCATGCAGGCTCTGAATGCTGACAAGGCAGTCCTTGCAGAGAAACCCATCATGAGTTGAATGAAGTTGTGGAAGCCGTTGAACTGGCCAAACAGAAAAACCTTGCATTTGTGTGTGGCTACCAGCGACGTGCAGATCGTCATTTCCGCGAGTTGAAGCGCCAATTAGATGCAGGAGCTATTGAGAACCTGAAGCTGCTGAAAACATGCAGCCGGGACAATCCCATTCCTCCTATGGAATACCTACGCACCAGCGGTGGAATTTTTCATGACATGTTGATTCATGACTTTGATATGCTTGACTTTCTCAGTGGCGGCCAAATACCAGAATCTGTCACCGCCACTGGCCACAGCTACCACCCGGAGATCAAAGAGATTGGTGATGTCGACATTTGTGCAGTGATGTTCAAGTATCCTAGTGGCCTCATCGCCATGGTGGATACTTGCCGAGACGCGTCCTACGGTTGCTTGCACAAGTTATATATAAGTTATATTTGCAATACTTTTTTCCTCACACAAGAGTTTTTGGTTTTGCTGTCTTGAATCTGGGTCCATTTGTGCCACTTGACTTCCATGGTTGCATATTGACAAATCCCAAGTATTGTATATTTATATATTACTTAACATTCAAAAGCACTGCGCAATCAAAGCACCCATGTCGGAAACCTCTAAATTTGCATTGATGTTTAATTACCGCCTGTACTTTTCAACAAAACTACAATTACAATGCCTACAGATGCCTGGAATATTTTTGGCTAGGTTCTTTTTGTTGCCCAGCTGTCATCTTCATTCGGGATCCAAGTTTGAAGGCTGATTTTGCCGCGCACTGCAGTGTTTTGTCAGACCAGCACTTTGCGTCGCCCCGTCATTGGGATACGTTCTCAGGGCGGTCTTTTGGAGGCGTTCCATCAAGGATTTGCTCTTAAGTGCTTGCCTCGAAGCTGTGTTTTCATGAAAGTGCTTGCCTCAAAGCTGCCTCGAAGCTGTAAAATTGCGAATTGGAGTGAGTTGGGAGAAGCAGCAACGGTCAAAATCATTTCAGAAAATTCCAAACGTATGGCGCGGTCCAACTATGGTAAATATTGCTAGACATGTCAAGGTGTGGCGTAGTCACTTTTTGTGGCAGGCCCAGCGCTTTGTGCGTGTTGGAGGTGCCGGGATACTGTTTGTATGGGAGGTGGAGGGAATGGTGAGGCATGAGGCTGCGACGCTTGGTACTCGGCGCAGGTGAATGTTGCTGTGTCATGGGGGTTGGCGTGTCAGCGGCTGCTCTTTTCGAGGGGCTTGGATTGCGAAACTGCTTGGCAGGGCTGCGTCAGGTGTTTGCTTTGCTGCGACTAACAGGTCTCGTAAGACACGCTCGGCTTGAAGAGTTACTGTATTTGTCTCGACATGTTCGTCCCCGGAGACTTGCCAAGTCACTTTTGGAAGTCCCCACAAGAAAGTCCTACAAGAGTGTGCGACAGGAGTGTCCTATCAAAGTGTCGCACAAACGTATTTTGCAAGCGTACAAGGGCATCGCTATTATTAACAGCGCATTGCTACTAGTGGCAAGAAGCTACTAGTAACAAGGGCATCGCTAGTAGTAGCAAGGACGTCACGTGTTCCACAAAACTGTCCCACAAGATTGTTCTGCAAGAGTGCGCCCGCAAGAATGTCCCACAAGAGTGTCTCGCAACAAGAGCGTCGTACATGAGTGTCCCACAAGAGTGTGCCACAAGAGGGACCTACCAAAGTGGCCCGAAAGCCGCTAGAGTGTCCTACAAAATTATTTGGCAGAAAGGAGGGATCCACAAGAGTGCCCTACAAACGTGTCGCACAAGAGCGTTTCATCAATAGTGTCGCACAAGCGTGTCCTAGAAGAACGTCCCGCGGAATGTCTTTTATGAGTCCCTTGAAGAGTGTCAAGCAAGAGTTTGAGTGTGCGCATTCGTGTTCGTGGGTTCCTTCTTGCTCAATGATGGTAGAATTTTCCAAGGCGACTTTCAGTTTTGAAGTTCTCTCAATCTCACAGCAAACCCCTTCGTGCAGAACCTGCTTGGCTGGGGTGCTCTCTGGTTCACTTTGTCTGCCCATGTTCCCAGCAATGTCCTACAATCCTCCAACTGGCTCCACAAACCCAAGCCCTGGTTCCTAATTACAGTATATAGATTCTTTTCGGGGTACAGCCTGTTGAAAGGATACAAAAGTACTCAACCTGAGTTTCTCTTTATTTAAACGGGGCGTGTTTTGTGATTATATACTGATTACTGGTGTGTCACGGTTTATTGTGTTTAGATTTCATTCTTGAGGTATCTTGAAAATACAGTTGTTCGGTTCCTGTTTGGGCTGATCTCCGGATCACGCCTTGGTCAAAAGGATCGGCTCACACCACTTTTGAGGGCAGGGCATCCTTCGCTTGCTGAGATCTGAACTCTGGACATACAGGATACTCCCACTTTCCACCCTAGGCGTCCGGTGTCCTTGGGCGCTTGCGACATCTTCTGTCGCCTCAGGTTATGACCAGCGCATCGAGGCCTTTGGTGAGCGAGAATGAACTCACCAGCACAGTCGAGCTCGCGAAGGCAGATGGCCATCGGATGCCTTCAGCCACTGAGATGAAGGGGTTTGGAGTTTGGTTGAAGACAGAAGACATGGGAAGACAAATCAGGATAAATCAGGTTGGAAAATCTTCAAATTGTTCATGTGCCGCGTAACAGTAAATCGGAAGATCGAGTCGACCCTTGACCTTCCTAAGGTGCTTGCAGTCAGACTCCAATGATACCCTACTTGTTTAAACAAGAACATCAAATGTGTTTAATGTGTATTCTAGATATTTATTATTAATAGTTGCATTTATATTGAAGGATTACCAGGGTTTAACACCACCAGAATTGTACCACCATCTACTGTAAGTATGCATGTAATGCCACCACCCGGATTGGTTCGGGCAGGTTGTTTTCCAGCTCAGATGCTTGGTGACATGAAGGAATGACTCCGTGGAACTGTGGAACTTGTTTCTTGGGACAAGGCTCCGTTTGAGGGACCTTGCTACATCAAAATCATATGACAACCAGATGTCGTGCTCTCCTCTCTGATTCTTGGTACTTCCTTGAGGTGTCGGAATTGTGTCAAGTTCGTTTTTGCTTTGCTTCTTTGGAATGGAGTCCTCCAAGATTCTGCTCTGCCAGACGAATCAGGCCACCTCCAAGATTCTGCTCGAAATGGTTGTTGGTCGGTGGCCTGATTGGTTTGAAATCATCCCAGGCCATGCACAGCTTTCCGCAACGATACCTTCAGGCAAGTGGTGTTGGCCAGGGATTGGGAGCACTTAGAAACTAAGGCTAAAGGACGCCGTTTACAACGATGTTTGCAAGCAATTACGGTGATTAACTTGATGAAGTACTTTGTACTTATGTGTATATATATAGTACAATTGTAAGGTCACGCAATGTCACGCGAGGAATGCTGACAAGTAAAGAAGCCATTGAACATATGTGACACCAAACCAGGTGCAAGGCCATGTAGTCATGAGTGGTGAGGTGAGTGATGATGCTACTGCTAGGATTCCTAGGAATTTTGGAGGCCTATCGCTCTGAGCTGACGGAGTTCATCGAGCTGGTGCGGGCCGGCCCAGAGAGCGAGATGCATCGCCTGGAGCAGCAGGCAATGCTGCGACATCCCAACGTTGTCCGGACCACCATCACGGCGGAGATGTCCTGGAAGCAGGGAAAGACCGTGAACCTTGCAGAGCTCATGTCTGACACACCCTCCGCAGGCTATCCTGCATAGGCAGGCTTATAGGAAGCTCCAGGCATTGTGGAGAGAAGCTCTTCCTAACACCTGAGACTTCTTGCCTCAATACTAGATGTTTGATTATGCTTGCATGTTTGGGCAAATTTTGCGGGGAGGCCTGAGGGCGTGTCACCATGGAGGCCCCGCAAATGCGGCTGTCCAGCAATCCCAGTTGTGGACTTCCGTGCAAAGCAGCACAAAGACTCTCTTGGCACAGATTCTCGAAAAGATGTGTTCAGAAATCCTTCCGAATCTTGCAAGAATCCCAGCTAGGGCCGTTCTGGCTGTCCAGCGTATTGTCCATCTAGCATCTCCACGAGTGTGCTATGGGCATAGCAGACCAGCAGATAGCTAGTAGACCCAGCAGACGTAGCAGCCCAGGAGTAGTATAGATCTTTAGCATTTGTTTACCACTCATATATTTGTCCTCCATATTCTAACCACAATCCCACCGAACTGAAAGCACAACAGATGGCTGCAAGGACCAAGAAAGCTATGCTTTGTCTCAAGAGATGAGTGTCGTGCTTTGAGGAATTTTGGCTCAGACAATCTGCAGGTCGCTGCAATTTGTTCCCCGGAGGCGGAATTGGCCATGAAGGACATGCATGTCGTCACGGTGTTTCCTAATAGTACTAATAGGCTCACATTGTGTTAATGTCATAAAAACTTCAGATTTACGTAGATGTATTACTTTTCAATTGTTATTCAATCCCTGGGCCAGCCACTGGTCAGCCAGTCCCGAGGATGTTGTGAAGGTGGCCCTAGTGGGCCTTGGTCGTGCCGGCCACTTCCACATGGAGTCGGTCCTTCAGCTGCCTGGTATTGTTCGGCTTGCATGGGTCATTGATATTGATACGGAGAAGGCCAAGCGCATTGCAACCGAAAAGGGCTGCAGGTGGTCCAGCAGTCTAGATGCTGCCCTGGCAGGTCCAGATGCTGTTGATGCAGTGATCATTGCCTCAGCAACGGACACGCATTTCCCGTACATCATGCAGGCTCTGAATGCTGACAAGGCAGTCCTTGCAGAGAAACCCATCTCCCATGAGTTGAATGAAGTTGTGGAAGCCGTTGAATTGGCCAAACAGAAAAACCTTGCATTTGTGTGTGGCTACCAGCGACGTGCAGATCGTCATTTCCGCGAGTTGAAGCGCCAATTAGATGCAGGAGCTATTGGGAACCTGAAGCTGCTGAAAACATGCAGCCGGGACAATCCCATTCCTCCTATGGAATACCTACGCACCAGCGGTGGAATTTTTCATGACATGTTGATTCATGACTTTGATATGCTTGACTTTCTCAGTGGCGGCCAAATACCAGAATCTGTCACCGCCACTGGCCATGCCTACCACCCGGAAATCAAAGCGATGGGTGATGTTGACACCTGTGCAGTGATGTTCAAGTATCCCAGTGGCCTCATCGCCATGGTGGATACGAGTCGAGATGCATCCTACGGTTCCTTGTTATATTCAGAAAATGGCAACGGCAGGGGTTGGTTTTCAAGGCACTGCATTGGTGAATCTTTTGGGAAGCCTAGGCTGTGTTCCAACAGCAATAGCAAGTGCAATCCAAATGAGCGTCGTTCAAAAACCCACCTCTTCCTTGTTAGTAATCGAATTTCAAAGGCTGATTTCGATTGTGCTCTCACTGCAGTCGCGAAAGGTTCGCGAAGGTCCTGCGAAAGGTCTGCGCAAGTCATGTTGGTGACCTGGCCACGCTGCAAGAACAATTGCTCTTCAGACTTCTGATTGCTTTTTCCCGGGTTGGGAAAAAGCAAATTGGAAATCTGAACCATTTTGCTTTTTCCCGGCCTGGGAAAAAACAAATTGGAAGTCCGAACCATTGGAAGTCTGAGCAAACTGGCCTGACTGAGCCGTCTCTTGTTCATGGAGGGTACACACCAAAATGAAAATGGCTTGGTTGGAAGTCTTGACCATTTTGC